CTTTTCGTCCGAATTTTCAAAAAATAAATTTATTAAATACATAAAAATCAAATATGTAATGAAATTTACGATTTCATATTTAAACGCAATCATCCCAACGCTGCGCTGATGCTTTAACAAACAATTTTTTAAAAATAAATAAATAAAAGGACCTGATGGCCGAGTGGCTAGCGCTCTGGCGCTCGGTACCACAGGTTTCGAATTCGAGTCCCGGCGGATGTTTGTAGTGGTTTGGAATCCACTTTAAAAAAGTAGGTTCCGTAGGGCGTTGCGGGGGTAGTGTTACTCGCGTCCGTAGCATATCTTCAAGCTACACGTACCGCCTGGGTGGTGCTAAATGTGTAACGTCTTTGAAGCACTTGCTTATGGCATAAAGATAAATACTTGTATTTACCAGCTACATTAGAAAAAATAAATAAAATTGTAAAATGTTGTTTGTCTAATGTCATCGCTTCGACCCACTATCGTTCGGGGAAATTATTCCCCTATTATAGTTCTCATGCTTTGACTTTCTCTTCTTGCTGGAAAGGACCTGACCATCAATGCTTCGATATGAAATGGGTGATCTGCAACAGAAAGTTGTATTCTTTTGTTTTTGCATTCATTTCTTTTCTATTTCTCTTTGGATTCAGAGTAGTTAAAATTTTTAGACACCTTTGTGATTTAATTTTTTAAATATTTTATCTTTATAACAAATAAAAAAATTGGGGTTGTGGTTTTTAAATTGTGTATCATTACAGAGTCCAGTGAAAATAATATCCTAAATGAGGCCGGAAAATAAATCCAGGCACATCCCTTACATTGTAAGTCTTATAATAAAACTTGCAACATATACAACAGAACTTTCTGTAAGGAAAGAATGATGAGCAGAGCTTGCTGTGATGAACATAAATATATCAACAGGAAAGTCTCACCTTTCTCTAATTCTTGCATGCTATTTTTTTCACACGTATTTTTCATTATTAGACATTTAATTCTTTTTAAAATCTTAAAATTTTTCCTTTAATTATTAATACTACCTTTTCTTTACAAAATATATCTCTCTTTTATGAGTTTGTAAAACATTTAAAATTTTATTAGTAGATTTCAACTAAGTTTTTATGTTGAAAATCAAAACCAAATAATGTAACCATTCTTGGAATGCATTTTTTAAAAATGAAATTTTTGTGCTGGCTGATTTCATATTTTAAAGTTGTGTAAATAATGAATCATGCCAAAATGATTATATATCATATTTGAATAAAAAAAGAATGATAATCCATATTTTGTATAGCTGTTGGTTCGAAGCTCTTTGAAAAATTTGCAAATTACTCTAATTTGAAAATATTTAAAAAAATCAGAATTACATCGCCAAACTATATAAATTTTCATAAAAATTAAGTAAAAATATGTAAAAAGTATACTTAATAACTGCTGCATCAGAATATGCTCTGCGTATTAGTGAGCTGCTGTAGTGAAGCGCAGCTGGACACGTAGCTAATAACAGGCTTTAAAAATGTCTGCATTTAGGAACTAAAGTTAAAAAGAATTAAAACTTAATTCCCGCTTCATATCTTTAAGATGGAACTCCACATCTAATATGAATGAGATCATTAATTTAAACTTACTTATGACATGCTTATCAAAAGTGAAAAATTATTTCATAACTTATTTAACACAATGCCTACACATGTAACTGTTTTTATCGCGCAAACAACAACACAGATATCTCAAGAGTCACCTAACTGGATAGTGTCAAATTAAAAATAAAACTGTCGCTTGAATATACACCAACTGTGGAACAACAGGCTATTTTGAATCGTGTCTGATCTTCCTTCCAATAAACCAAACAAGAAAAGGCAAACGGTGAAAACTTTATATTCCCTCTCATTTCAACCTCCAATCTGCCCATTCAACCAAGACTGTTGCTCAAATTGTTATATAAAATGACTCCTTTTCTTTGGTGGATATGCAAACTTCAACATAATGATATTCAATCTGATTCAGCCTCTCTTGGCTCTATTAAAGGAATTTAAGAAAACTATTCAAGCTTTCTGAAAACGTTACGAAGTGTTCCTACAAATCCACAAAACTGAACACCAATTACTAGTAGATTTCTCTTCAATAGCTATTGGGAGACTTTATATAAAGTAACAAGATCAGTATAGTTATTAGTATATATATATATATATATATATATTAATTGTTTCTCGTTCATTTTTCAGAATATGCGCACAAAGAATGTTTACCAAATGGAACCTGGTACACAAATGAATTCATGAGGGAGTGGACCAACTACACCACATGTGGCAAACGAGAAGTAAAGAATTAAAGAAGCCTATTTTCTCTTTATAATAATCATTGTTATAGACTTATGTTTATATATACATAACATAATTATATATTTTCTTCTAATATGTAGTAAAGTAGGATTTTAATTCTAATAATGTTCATATATACTATGAGAAAACTATTTAATTAGAAGTTAATAAATTGTTTATAATATAATTTTATAACAACTTACTTAATAAACACAGTTGATAAAACTTGTCGAGTCCTCTTTCTAACATTTTAAATTAAACAAATCAATTTTTATTTTGTGCTGTACTAATATAATGGTTCTCAAACTGTAGAGCGCGACGGATAAAAAGACGCGGCATAATAAATAAAATTAGAATATTGTGCAAATATAAACACTTTTGAGAGCTTCCGATCAAGATCATGTTGTTACTACTATGAGTTTAGAAGATTCTGATAAATACGGACGTGACTGATGATAAATAACTTTGAAATCTTTATTATTTTTTTATAAGAAGCTATATAAACATATTCAATATCAATGAGAGCTGATTTAACATAATAATGAGATATGATTTAAAATAATAAACTCTTTTTTTTTTAGCATAATATCTTGAATACTCTAAATTTGTATTTAAAAAGAAAGCCCTGCTAAAAGTGCATTACTAATATAAACTAATCAATATTAACTTCCAGACTTTGGCATTTAGTATAATGACGAAAAAAAGACTAAGGAACCTAGTTAAACTTTCTTTTATTATTAATAAATGTAAAGATAAAATAATTTCAGAACTAATGAATTACAAATATACAAATACCGAAGTTCAAGATGATGACTGATGATGATATCGACAGCTACTCCCAAGAAATACGAAAAGCGCCATAGCAGTTAGAATTTAACTACCTAAATCAATTAAAAAATATACCTGAAAATTAAAAATTGGAATACCGAAAGGCATTTTAATCAGCACAGTCTTTTCAGCTTTTGAATTTTAATAGTCCGGAATTTAAAAATTTCTAATAATCGCTTTCGCCCCGTTTGATAAGTAATTTTCAATTTACTTTCACAACATATTTAAAGTTCTAACAGCTAAAAGTAAGGTAAATATCAAGTTTACAGGTAGACGAATCGAGTACTTTTTAGGGATGCTAGTCAGTTATCCATTAGTATAATAGTAAGTGTAGAATTCTTTTTTCGTCTAATTGTCCTTTTTATATTATGTAATTTAAAATTGTAATTTTTAAAAAATAACATTATTTTTATGATAAATAAAATTGCTTTTAATTTTATTTTCAAAATTACATTTATCCTCTATTACACAATTGGAAAACACGCTGCGTTTGAATCTGTTTGACTTGGCAGCTTACCTATTTTCCGCTTGATAGCTGATCGCAAACTATATGCATATTTTTTTTTCTCTGATATAAAGATACAATCTATTATGAAGGGTGAAATTAACTGCTTGCTAGCTAGTTGTTGTTTTTGATATATGTATTCGTAAAATGAACTGTTATTTTGGCGTCTAATTTTCTAATTTTACATAAAAAAAAATATGTTTTATGTAAAAAATGTGCATGTAAAATGTTTTCATATTATATCCAGAATAAAAAAAAGTTAAACAAAATAAAGACTACAATAACGTTTAATTATATAACCGGAAAAAATTAAAGACTATAATAACATTTAATTCAACTACGGGAAAGCTTAAGAACTATAATAACGTTTAATTCAATAATGGGAAAGCGTAAGAGGACGCAGCAAAATGTTCTCTTGTTAGAGGAACAAAAGTAAAATGTTTGAGAATCATCAAATTAATATATTTTGTAAGTTTTAATAATTTTGTTGTAAGATTATATTAAAAATATGTTGATAAATTATAATAATGCTCAGTTTATAAATGAATTTAGTTAAAATTTAAAAAAAATCTAAAGTAAACAAGTCACGAAATGCAAAAATTTTGGGTTAAAGTTATCAAAATCTTTCTTTTATAATAGTAGTGCTTAATATTAATTTATCGATTTATGATTTTTATAAAACAATCTTGTTGCAAATCTGATTAGTGAGTCTTAGTTTGTAGAATCTCTGTGAATATTTAACTGTCGCTAAAATGTTGCTTAATGTGGAATTTATCATTAAAAATTTAACTTTGCTGTTAACTAAAACTATGAAATGGTCTATTCATTGCGATATTTATTTGATAACAGTACAATATTGTAATCAAACTATACGGGCATAATTCATAAAAATTATAAAATAAGATATTATTTTCGACTCTAGAAAAATTTAATAACTTGCACTTTATTTTTTTTATAAAAAAATAACAGATTTGGTTTAAAACCAATTTATTCTATTTTAATAATTAACTTAAGCTCGTCAAATGAAATGAGGATTAATTGCAATTTATGTAAATAAATATTTTGTTCAAAAGAATGTTGTTGTTGTTGTTGTTTCTTATCCCACTTGGCTGGCCAAGCCCACGAGCCCATAGGGACTCATGATTGAAGGGGAAGGAAGCAGCTTCTGTTGTGATGGAGCACCCGTAGGTAGAAGCCTGACTTTTGCTCCGTGACGCTCTTACAGTCATAGAAGACCGGGACCTACGGCTTAAAGTGGATTCCGAACCACTACAAACATCCATGGCACCGCCGGGATTCGAACCCGAAACCTGTGGCACCGAGCGCCAGAGCGCTAGACACTCGGCCATTCAGGTCCCAAATTTGCCAACGGCACGCAGTGTTCCCAGGTGGTCACCCACCCAAGTACTGACCGCGCCCAATGATGCTTAACTTCGGTGATCTAACGAGAACCGGTATATTCAGCATGGTACGGCAGCATGGTACGGTCAAAAGAATACATTTATAAAGCAAAAGTAACAGATTTAAATAAAAATTGATATAGTTAAATATTACATTTTGAGAATGTAGTACTGTTCCAGCTAGATATTGAGTAAAGATAGAAATTTCATCAAGACGCTTGTATGTACAATTTCATAAATGAAATACTTTCACATTTCCATAATATAATATCCAAAATAGAACATCTAATGTAAAAAAAAAAAATCTTTTCTTACATTAGAAATGGAGGAATGTTAGTTGGAATGGATTCAATCTTATTCTGTTAGATAATAATTTCTTCATTTTTTATGATTGCATAACCTATAATAGAACTCGATACATGTAGCATGTTCGAAATTTTCCGAACACATTTTGTACAGAGTTAAAAAAAAAATAAATTTTTTTTTCCTTTATTAAACTCGGCTTTCGCCCATTATATTTTAAGCTTTGCAATTCCTGCCTAAGAATACACGAATCTGAATGTCCACTAGTAAATTAGTAAATAGTTATGATATTAATCAGTTATGATATTAAACATTTATAACACGTATTGCATTTTAAGTTCGGCAGGGAACTATAACATTCAGTTGTCCAATTTTTAATTCATAACATTTAACTTTTTTTTGTCATAACCTCTAACTCACAACAACTTAATTTACATTTAAATTTGACACATTACCAAAAATATATCTTCTATTAACCCCTAAAAAGATAAGTTTTTTTTTCTTTCAAATACAGTTAGAACATTTTTTTTTTTTTTTTTTTTTTTTTTGTAATAAAATCTGAAATATGCATTGTTAGAACTATTATCAATTAATATTTATTCTTCGTTTATTATAAAAATTCAAGTACAAATTTAGCCATTCTGATTTTTAGGCCTTTAGAATCGGAAATTAATTTCGGATCAATCAAATTTAGTCTTTAGAATCAGAACTATAATCCTTTGATTCATCTGCAAAGCTTTCGAGATCCCTACACAATGCATAGCTGCAATTATCACTAAGTATCTCTCCACTTTTACTAATTTTGAAAAAAATAACTGAAAGTAATAATTAATAAGTAAAAAATGACTCCTCACCAGTAGTTTGAGTACTTCGAGTACAGCTTTTGAAAGATATAGAATCAAATGCCTATAAAACGACATGAAATCTCGATGGAATGACTATTACTAGATGTACGATTTTACAAGAGAACTCGTGTTTGCCTAGAAAAATACAAGATAACCTAAAATATTCATTTTAGTTCAAAACTGAAAACTTTTCGCTCGGTTAACTTGTATCGTTAACTTGTATTCCGAAAAGATACAAATATGAGATACGAGCATATTCAGCATAAATAATTTTTTTTAATTAATTAATAAAAATTTCGAATAATTAATTTTTAAAAAAATTAATAATATACTTATATTACTTTTTTCTATCTAATCAATTGGCTTAAAGCTTAAGAAATTTCCCTCACTCACAAAGCAGGAGATAGAGGTTGCTAAGCAACCAAGGTTCTCCGTTAATCTGGCAAATCGTCGTCGTATTCAGCATAATCCTTATTATATATAAGTACATATCTCTTATTATCCAGAAAATTATTAAGAGATTAAATAAAATTGTAATTTTTATTGAAATGCATGGTTTAAATAATATCTAAACAATATGCTTTTTTAAAAATTTTATTTAATTATTCATAAATATGAACTTAATTTTGAAATTGTATGGATAAATATGATACATTTAAAAATTTTTTATTGAATCTTCATATTTGGTTTTAATTGATACTTTTTGTCAACTTAAATAAACTATATTAAGCTATAATAATTATTAAAGCTATACAACTAGTTATATCTGATAATTTATAATAAATGAACTATACGTTGAGATTATTTAAAGTATAGAGTAAAATGATTCATAGAGAAACATATTTTCACTTTTATAATTTTAAAACTTTGCTCATAAAAAAAATCGTTGGTTTTACCAAAACGTGATTGAGAGATAAGTGAATTAGTGACTGAAAGATAGAAATAAACGGAAGCATAAAAAAAATCAGATAAATCTATCCAGTGATTTTCGATGAAAGAAATATGTATGAGAAAAATTCCGTATATTATACCAAAATTCTTTGAAATCATCTGTTTACTTTTAAGCTTGTTGAATTTTAAATGTATATAAGTTTGTGTCCTGATAGAATTTCGATAGCATGTTGAAAATCATGTGTTCAAATTCATCATCACAGTAATAAAAGTTGACGTGTTTATTCAAAAAAGTCATAACAGTAGCTGATATAAAAGTATTTATTGTTTAATTAAGATAATCTACAGTGTATATTTTATAGGGTAAATACTCATCATAATAATGAGATTTAATTTATTAGATAATTATAATTAAATCATTAATAATTATCAAAATCAGATATCAGAAAGATCAACACCGCACGTTTAACACCGTGCAGGAAAAATTGCATTAATGTTATTTTTTTAAACTTTATTTAATTGATAATCTTATGTAAATTCCTGGTGTTCTCTTAATTTTTTTTACTGACATTTCATTTTAAAAACTGAATTAAAATAAAATGTAACGTCTTTTCATATTATTCGCAATGATTCAATATTTGCATGATTTTATGTAACACTGGAATATTATTATACACATTCTTATTTTTTTTTTAATTAAAAAGCATTGAATTTTTATTTTTCGGATTTCAGATTTTTTTAATAAACCATTACATTTTATTAAATTGCTGAAAAATTATTGGTAATCTTAATCGAAATTTAAATGAGTTGCATATATATTTAACCTTAAAATATCAAATTTAGACAACAATTAGTGGATAACATACATTATCTTTCGAATTATGATTCATCGTATAAAATGATTCTAACTAATTTTCAACAATCATTTTTGTGTATGTGTGTGTGTATTTTTAATACATACATTTTAAAAAATTTTATTTACTATGAACTAAATTACTCATAAAATTAAACTACTTCGAAAATAAGCTGATTTTGATCAAAACTGTTTTTGTATAAAGGTTTTTTGATAAAAATCATATCAAAATTTATTTTCTTATAAATTCAGATATTTGCAACAAATAATTAATATTTGTTGCTTTTTTAAATATGAGATTTTATTGATTGTATTTTGTGTTATTATTTAATAATATAAATAATAAAGTTACAGTATAACTTTATTTAAAAATTTTAATAATAAAATATTTATTAATTTCAGGAACATCGACAATATTTATACTTTCATATTGCTACTTTCATAATTTCTATCATATTCATCATTCCAGCTCTTATAATATTTTCTGCCTACAAGTAAGTAGAACGTATTGATTTATAAATATTTAATTTTAATCATGACAAAATCGCAGAATAGGGGCCGTCTGGGATTGGCGTCAAAAGTTCATTTTCCGAAGTGCGACAAGAAAAGATTGCGATTGTAAATGAATTAAAATGATTGTAAATGTTTGAAATGAATTACAAACAGTGCAAGAAAGCCGGGTTACCATATTTGGCGACTTATCGCTCAGTTGGATCCACATAAAAGTCACATCATTGGATCCACATTTACGATTTGACCTTAATCTTAATTACAATAATATATATATATATATATATTTATTGGCGAATTAATCTTTTTGTGTACTATTTTGATATTTTAATTATCCTACCATAAAATATAACTTAATAAGCAGTCAAATATTAAATTAATATTTTTGTCAATACATTATTTAAGTATTATTATATTATCTATAATCTCTTTGTTATTATATACCATGGAGGCCATTTAATCAGAATGCATTACATTTATTCACTGTAACTTATCCACGCACCACACGATAAAAATTTCAAAAGTCATCTATTATAGAAATATGATCTTGAATAAATAAAATGTATTAAAAATAATTATTTTTGCAGCGTAGCATTAAAAATGATTAATAAGTGATTTAGTGTTTGATTCAATTTTTATAGAAATCAATAGCAAATGTTTAATGTATGATCTAAAATATTGAAATAATAACTGAATGGAAGTATTTCTTATATAAGTTAGAACTACTTTCATCAACTAACCGTTTTTGATCAACATTTTTAAAATTAATTTTATTCATAACTTTTATGTATTATATCGTAACTCTTCATTCTTAAAACATTGTTTTATACTTAGACAGCTGCAAGTACCAAGAGTCACCATGCACAAGAACTTATTTCTGTCACTGTTGCTGAAAGGTTTTTCTTCTATCCTCTTCAAATCGATAGTTGTTGCAGATGAGCTGAAAAGAAGAGACAGCTATCAGAGCATCATGGAGCAAAACGGCGTAAATATTCAATTCATTTATATTTATACTCCATAATTTATTCATTAAGGCTGTTTTATGAAATTTTAATTTTTCATAAATGAAATTCATTTAACTCTTTATCGTTTTTTAAAATTACTGTATTGGTAAAATTTTGTAATTCCATTAAGAATATCACACTGCAATCTGAACTGTTGGTGTGACAAAGAGGTATCACTATTATAAATGTTGAATAAAGACGCATAAGCATAAAAGTTATTTCAACTTTAAAAGTAATTATAAATATATATGAAAGAAATAATTATATCGATATAAATCAAACATTTCAATAGCCAGATCAAAAATTACAACCGTAATGTCTGTCTTAACACAACAACAACACCGTAAACTGACTACAGGTAATTAAAGTTTCATTTGGAATAATGAGCAAAAAGTACTAATCGTCCCTATTTTGATAAATTTGTCACAAAAAAAATGCCAAAATATTTTATTTCTAAATTTCTATTTTCTCTAAAACCCACTCTTCTTCGTAAATCTTCTGAGATATATCATTATATATATCAAAATTTCAAGGCATAATTTTCGTAGAGTCTAATATTTTTTGTGGCTTCGTGCTTTAACTTAAACTCAGAAGTAGTGCAGAATTGAAATCTACTTGTAATTTGTTTGTTGTAATAAATGTAATTTTGAAAAATAATTATTTTCTTTTCTGT